CTAGCGACTTTTAGGACAACCAATAGCGATTTTCCTTACTGAGGAGTTGGCAACACTGAAAACAATGAGTTTTTTGCATTCCAGTGAATTTGAAGTCAGCTTGCCCCACCCCTTAGCTAGCTTATAATTTTCTGGAAGCTCAAGTTTGACAACCTGGCTTAGTCTGAACTGTGTCCAGTGAGAAAAAATGTCGACAGGTAAGAACGTACCAAAAATAGTTCAGTAAAGTTAGCATAGTGACTGCTGAGTGGAAAATACGTTACATTTATGTAGTTAGCTTGTTTAGTTAACTTAGCTAGCCTGATCTTGCTTGTTGATAGCTTAGCTGAGATTCACACTAGCTAGTTAAATGTACAGGTGTTACTGCATGGCAGCCAGGAAGACTCTGTCAACTGCAAGACTTGATACATAGGATACATGGTCATTGAAATATAAGTTGTGAAGTACAACTTAAAAATGACTCGTTTGGCTCACTGAATCCTAAAAGAACATATTTGATGAAAGTTTTAAATATAACTCCTACTAATCATTGAGACAATACTTTTACCAGAGAAATTAGCTGAGAAAATAACATGTAAACAAAACAAGTTAACCTTTGAGCATTTTTCTATATTGTGTTACAAAACTGCAAATATGATAAAACGTACAATATAGAAGATATGGAAATTAAAAACATAAAAACAATGAGCATTTTCATGATGGTGCAAGCCTTTAAATTATCCCAGGTATGGCATAAATAATACACGATCTGACGAATGAGCACTTTCATTTACATTTCATTTGACAACTTGTGCCACTGTTCTTGATGAGGATGCTCCTTTACAATATGTTCAGCATCCATTGTGTAGTTAGCTAGAACAGTGTAGAAATAGTGTGTGGAGTGATGATTGAGGGGAAATATCAAAAAAGCTCTCCCCTCGATGCAGCGCCAAGACATTAATGGCTCAAAGGTGAGAGGGCCGATGAACTAGCATGTCTCCACTCTCCTGGAGGCCTGCTGGCCTTCACCTGTTCCCTGTCCTCTACTCCTCCACCGAGTTTTCCCCCCTGCCCCGCAACAGACGTCTTATCAAACGTGACTGATTGCTGTAATCTGGACTCTAGGCAGCCATTAAGCAAATTACCTGAATCATTGCGAGGATTAGTCTCATTAACACATGATTAGCATCAAATTAAAATAATGAGTGTTTAACTTGTGATGTCTTCCAGTTGTTGGAACAGCTTGATCAGCCACACCAGGCTGACAGAGGGGGCAACCCTGCGTGTCAGGGGTCCTAAATTGGCAGGGGCCAACCGTGGTGAAGGGGATGGACCTTCACTGGATTACCAAGAGTCGGCTGGCTGAAGGTAAACCTTTAATCTCAAGGTATTTTGCTGAAACATGTCACCCCAGGGGTTGCATTATAATTTGTACAATGTCCAGTTTGCCAAAATCAACACCAATATACAAGTGTCAGATTTGACAAGAAAGCTGTCCAGAAAAAAAGGAAATATGGCATTTATTTTATGGATTTTGTATTTATTTGCACAAAATCAAAAACATCGATGCCAAGTAACATTAAAATACTTGGTTAAAGCTGAGTGAATGCCGAGCCCAGAAGCCAGACCCTGAACTTCAACCGTTAACAAAGGCAGTGATGAACAGTCAGGCTGCAGCCTCCGTTTCTATCCGCTCATGCTTCTACAGTAGAATCACTGTAGTGATAGCTTCAAAGTGTCTTTGTGTTGATTTTCATTTTTGCTGTGTGCCATCAGCTTTGTGTTCATGCCTAAATACTAAGAGAAAGATCATGCACACCCTGATTGGGTAGGGATTTGTGTTGGTGTGTGGGCCTGTAGCCTGAGGTTTATATTGTTAAACTGTAATTATGAGACACTGGGTTTCAGGCCATTTTACAGACAAATGTTACATGAAGTATAATAAATTACTTTGGTAAACTGTTCTCTTGGGAGTAACTGATTACTTCCACTGCATTACTTTAAAAGAGGACATGAAACACTACACATATAAATGCTAATTTACACCATTGAGTCCTGCTCTCAAAAACTGACATAGATGTAACTCTGTCTGTGAAGCTGGACTTAAGAAATAAGTCCTTAAAGTTAAAGTTTAAAAAAATGTTTAGCACCACCTTCAGTCAGTACGGAACGTGACCTCATATGGTTGGTTGGTTGGTTGGTTGCGGCTAATAGCTAACATAAACTAATGTAAGTCTAACTAGTGACAGAATCGATTATGAAAAAATGACACCAAGGGGATGTTAAAACCGAGTATATACTGTCTGCTTTCGCTGTCTGTCTCTTTAGCAGTAAGGTTGTTCAGACTGACAGAAACATATTTTTCCTCCTCTGGTCGAGTGTACCGAGCGACAGGATCAGTGCTATTTTATACAAGAAAATTCAGACAGTTTACAACATAACAGCTCACTACATGCACATCACACCACTACGTTTCTTACTGAAGCACAAGCACAAATCACATCAGCACGTCTGCAGTGCTCCAAGGAAGAGATGCCCACTCTTTGGAGACCTTGTTTTTTCCCCCTCACATCATTTCACTGATTAAATTACTTTATTATATTAGTGATCGAAAGCGAAGCCCAAATGTATGTGAAGGAGACTGTAATGTGGAGATTTTTATTTCCCTGCGGACATACTGATGGATCTTAGGATTTCCAATCATCTTGGGTAAGAAACAGTTTTGTTTTTTGTGTTTGTGACCCCTGTTTGGTGAACCCTCAAAGCAGAGCCAATGAGACCCCAGTGAGAATGAGACCCAAAGTGATAGCTTACCAATAATATTATATAATGAAATAGAATTTGCTAAATTCTTATCAATTCCCATCCAACCCTAATGAAAAGCAAAATAAAATTGTGCTTATCCATTAGTTATTTTTTTCCACAATTTAATTCATTATTATGACTTTATTGTTATTATTGTATTGTTGAGATATCCTACTGTGAGATGTGATATAATGTCACTTATTAATTCTATTAGGTCAATTTATAATTTAAAAATTTAAACAATTGTGATTTCATAGTTGTATTTATTATGTATACATGGATTAAAAACAACAACAACAACAAAAAAAACCCAAGGCTGTATGACGTCTATTTTAAAACTTGCTGGTAACAAGATTTAGAAAAACCTTCGACTGTTCGTTCAAATCCCGGAGTACGCAGACATTTAGCAACATCTGTCAAACCATAATTAATCAACATTCACAGATGTTGCTTTCTTTCAACCTGTTGACATTTCCCCAAAAAGCTCTTGGAACAGAGAACATCAGATTACTTTAATAAATACCAAAATGTTCCACATTATCATCCATACAATCCACCATCAGGCCCTTTTCACCTCTATGAAGTGAAGATGAGCAAATGTCCCGAATCAGCAGAGGAGTGCAGTGCACCTTCTGCTCTTATCTCAACAGAAGATTTATTTTAATACCAGAAATGCATATTTAGTAACCGCTAAGTGTAGTTAAAAACTCTAATGCTAACCTGCTGCTTGGAGATTATGGACACAGAATGATATTATGTTTTATCAGAGGAGCGGGGGAGTGTGGATGTCAAGTGCTCGCCCAGATGCACGATTTAATACCATACACACTGAGTACAATTCCCTTTTTTTTTCTTTTTTTTTTTTGTACTAATGAAAACAATAGCAGCACTAAACACTTCAGCCCACATTTAATTTAATCTTTGAGGGATTATCTTCTTCGGCTAATGTCAGAGTGTAAGAAGCCCTGTGAATATTAAATACATTTCCTCTGCAGATGCTCCGGCAACATTGTCAGGATAATGTCAACAGATTTTTTTCTGAGTTTCTTCATATGGGTGGAATTACTTCATGAAACATTTATGGGGAGGCGTTTGCCTTTCCTGAGTTCTCCATTAAACTTGAATGTCATGACACGAAGGGGCGGGGTTTGAGGATAAAATTTGTGTTAATGGCCTTGTGTTCCTTTGGCTTTGGCTAAATTAAAGGGCTTAGCAAATCCATCTTAACCGTGACTATACTGCCACGGGGTGAAGGGGGGAGAAACCCGCTGCAGCATTGTGCAGGATATTATATCTTAGAATAATCAGCTGAAGCTCTGATTCAGTGTGTGGTATGAATTGAATAAATTCATGCATTAGTTAAGTTTGAAAAACTAACACACACAGTTTGATCAAAGTTGTTTTATGATTGTTCTGTTTGAAAGGGAACCTCTTACACTTTTATGCATGTTTATATATGCACGCACACGTGCACGCAGTATATTAATTAAGTCATACTACCAATACGTTTGGCAGGAGCCAGTACACAGCAACACACTACCAGGCATGAGAACAACAAAGTGTGTGAGGTGAAATATGATGATATGATCCTGTAAGAACAGAAGCAACATGCAGAGATAAAAACAAGTTCAAACTGTGTTGTGTGGTAGTCAGAAATAAGTGAAAATTAGTTCCAGTGCAAAACTAGCAAGTTAACTGCAGCTGTGCAGTCATTGGAGAGCAGTTTGGGGTTGGACGTGATCCTTAAAGAATATTTGAATGGTTCCCTCTGAAAATTGAATGGTATTTTTGCTTGAAATGCTTTGCTGGAAGTGGATAACCGTCCCCATTAACAGTTCAGCTTGTCAGCTTCCTTTTTCCTGATAGTTTAAGCAGAATGCAGCTTGTTGTAAATGGTTCTTATATAACACTTTTCTACTCTGCCTGAGCACTCATGGTCCTTTATACAACATGCCTCATTCAACCATTCACACAAGCACTTTTTTCTATGCTTTTTCCTACTGAAGTGCTAATCTAATATTCACACACATTCACCCCACAGCCACTCCTTGTAGTTCCATGTTTTTAAAGGGAGGGAAGATAGTAAAAAAGTGACTGGATGAATGAATTTGGATAGTAGAGACAGAAAACAAAGAGAAAAGAAGAACAGAGGAGAAAAGATGTAAATGGGTGCTTATAATTTGAGGTTTTTAAAATGATGACAGGAAACATACACGAGCGGACTCACAAACAGCCGAAGTACCGTACAGAGATTTTTAGGCAAGACACTCTGTGTTTAAACATTTATATTAGTGCTTCAATCTAAATGTAGCTGAAACAAAGCAAATAGAGAATTGAGTGTAACAAATCAATACCAATCCATGCCCTATCTGAGGTCAGTCAGAAGTACAATTTTCAAGATTTCTTCCCCTGAAAATGCTGTAGAGACATCATGAACTAGTTGTCTAGTTCTGTGGTGGAAAACAGCTTTCTACCAACCACATTTATGTACTGTTTGCCATATTTAATTGACAAACGGTAGATAGTTTTAAGTTTTGTCAGAGGAAAAACACAGAAAGCAGATTTTTTTTTTCCATGTTGGGCATGTTTGCTGTATGCTTTATATTTCACTCGCTTATTTAACACCGATTGTGTTAAATATTATTTTCTTTTAAATGGAGATTGGTTGATGGTTTGACTTGATGGCCGTGAACAGAGTACCACCTTGAATTTCACTTGTCTAAACATTGTCGTTTCCAAGTATTCATTAAACATTGCAATGTCAAAACATTGTAAACTACTGTGGTTTTAAGTACTTTCTGAGCAGGTCTAGGTTAACTATTGACATGGTGCTTGAACAGACCCTCGGGTATGTAAAAAATCAGAAACATCATCAGCTGTGTTGCCATTTTTCCTCCCAGCAAAGGAAGTTTACAGTAGCCTGTCTGTTTGTAACCAGTGTGGATTATACAGTTGTATTATCCGTAAGCGACGGTGCCGATCCTTACTAAAATTCAGCAACTCTAAAATGGCTTTGGTTCTTTCTGAAATCACTTATAAAGTAGACAAATTTAATACCCAGAGCCAAAACTCACTAGCATTTGCATAGCGGCTGACAGTAATTTCCCCACATTGTTATTGCTTTATGTCTGTCTGAGCCCATCTGTGATCTCTGTAGCGGCAAACGGTATTTCTCACTGAGTGCACTGTTGGGCTGGCGTACTGCTTTTTTCTGCAAGTGAATGAAAAGTCATCCTAAGGACATAGCGACACAGCCTAATTGCAGTTGATTAATAAAATACTAGCGCAGGCACCAGTTGGCAACTTCATTATTATGTTTCTCAAACAGATTAATTGCGCTGAACAATATGAGCCTGCCACCAGTGATAGCAAGACTTTGGATACAAAGGCAGTCATCAAGACTGAGCCTGGCTTACATTAGTCATTTTAAATAGCTCACTCAATGATTACTCTCATGTGCAATCTCTGAGGTACAGGGATGTGGCGTTAGGAGCAAGCAGATGCCCAAATGTCTAACAAGTACAACTGATCGTTGTTTTTCAGAGCAAAAGACATTTAAATCA